AGCTAGTAGAAAGTTTAACGAGTTTTAACTGTGGAAATAACCAATTTTGTCGTCTGATCAACTCCTGGCAAGTCACTGGCCATAATCCGCCAAAAAGGCCTATTTTAAGCCATTTTTGCGAAATTTGGCAACATCTTGGTGACAATTTTTTTATGAAATGGTCAAATTCGGATTTAGCGCCAAAAATTATATAGGAAACCATGGAATTAATGCTACCTGGTGTTTTTGGAGGCTAAAATGTCTATCTGCCCGGACTCAAAAAGCGTCGTCGCTCCATAAAGCTGTTTACAAAAATGATGATATCTCGCGAACCAAAAGTTTCCCAGCGAGCTATAATATATCGATGGATGCGAAATCAAACGAACTATCGATTAGACAACTTTTTATTCAAATTTAAAGATAGCCTTTTTGGGTATTTGCGGATTTGTAAAATTTGTCGAATTTAAAAATCGAAAAATTAGAACAAAGCATGTTAAAATTAATGCGACATCAAAAACATGGTCATTTCCTAAAAGTGCGCAATTTTTAGAGAATTTTCGTTGAAATCGCAACTTCATAGCTCAATTTTAATGCCACTTACGGAATTTGCCCGTTTTCAACTTGGCAACGCTGTAGCGCGCGGGAAAAATTTCGGGTGAACTTGCCAATGCCGGAAAAAGGCGTGTCTTGTGATAGGGAACAACATATCCAGCTCCGGGCAAAATCCAAGCGTAGGGTAAAATCGCCGATTTTGAATAACCCTCTTTCTCATCGTGCATTTCATCATCCTCAGAGCTGCGCCGGCTGGTGAATATAACTTATACTGGGCGGCTGCAGTGTAGAGAATTGATAATTTAGATCCGATCAAGACTTACTGAAGGTCCTTTGCAGTTGGTGGAACTAATGAGGAAAACAAATGGGAACTAAAATATACCGATACCTGCAGAGAAAAAAAATCACAATTTCTGCCAAACGGAACTATGTGGATTGAGATATGACCCCTGAGACCCATAAGAATACAGTAGATATCGGTTAATACGACATCGGTTAATACGACATATCGGCTAATACGACGGATTTCGTTTTCCCCGGCGAAACTCCATAAGTTAATACGACAACGGTTAATACGACATATCGGCTAATACGACGAAATCCCGTGACCCTTTGAATGTCGTATTAACCGATATCTACTGTATATGCATAACAGGACTCACGTCATAGTGCACATAGTTTCGTTTGGCAGAAATACGTCCCATGGACCACTAGACAAGGTACGGATTTAAGCGATCTGATACATGTATCTTAACCAGAACTTCACGTAGAACACGATTCACACAAAGGAAATTACTGAAACTAACTCCTAACGAAGATATTAACGTTTTTATTTCATATTGGTTACGAGGAATTAGAACTGCCCGCTCACAAGAAACTCAAAGCTCTACGTGAGTCAAATCGCGCACTACAACGGTTTCAGCAAGCTTCTCAATCGAGCAATGTTCATTTCCCACCATGTGTTGTTCAAACTATCAGTAATTTGCTACAGCTGAGCCAAAACGTCAAGATTGAGGTTGCCAGATTTTTATATCGCAGAGACTGTCATGATAACGTTTAGCGCGCGATGTGAATCACGGAGAGGATTGAGTTTTCATGAGTGGGTTGTTTGAATTCACGCATCAAGAATCATTAAATATCTTCGTAAAGAATTTATTTCGGTAATTTTCGTTGTGCACGTCGTGTTTTACGTGAAATTTTGGCTCAGAAACATGTATCAGAATGCTGAAATTCGTACCTTGTCTAGTGGTCCATTGTTACGTTCCGAATTTTTAAAAAGCCTCAGACTCAGACGTGTTCGGACTGCGGTATTGTCGGCACCGACAGAACTGGGAAGCAAAATTTCACGTCGTGGGAATTCAATAGTATGCGATAAAAAAAGTTCACCCCACTTTATCGACATGATTATTTCTGTTTATTCTTTCAGAATACGTTTGTTTTTTCCTTTTTTAAACTTAAAACCGTAACTTAAGTGAAATATACGCAAAAGTTTATTATTAATTCAAAAATTATTATTTCTCTACACCTCAGAAGCGCTCATCACTATTTTTACTAATTCTTCCTTGCAAGATTGATTCGTGAGAATAGGAACCGAATATGCATTCCGCAAATCGATGCGGATTACAGTGGCGTTGCGTGAATTGCAATGTATCGATTGTTATGCTATTTAAACCTAGGGTTAAGAATCGATTATTAAGGTGTTCGCTGCGAACACCCTGTTCACCGATCCTTTTCCGTAGGTTTAAAAGGCACAACAATGGATATGTCGCAATTCACGCCACGCCACTGGTTGATTAGTCAAATGAAATATGATCAATTATTTTTTACCAAGATTCCGCTCAGCCTATTCGATGAAAACAGATGCAGCTAATGCTATACCTTTCGTCCCCTTTAAACAGGCCCTTTCTGCCCTTAAGATTTTGAAATTTTCTCGAAAAAAAAAAAAAAAAAAACAGGAAAATTTCCAAAACTGCTTATTAGAAGAAGAACCATTCTGGGATCAATGTGCTGGGATTATCTTGTTTCCATGTGCTCAACTTCAATTTATTTCGATATTTAAATGGCTAGAATCGATCAGTCCGTTAAAAGTAATTAGATATTTCGTTAAGCGATCTCCCTTTGCAGCGCGATCCAACTCGCTGGCGCGTTATTACTCGTGAATGGTGTAATTTATTCAAATTGATGCTCCCACTGCGAGCAACCACACGCAATTAAATCAATCTGTGGGTTGAGTATCTTGAAAACAATAACAATGTAATATTAATATTACCAACGATGAAACTGTAGGCACGTGTGTCTCGGTTTTGGACGTTGCGGACTTCCTTCATGTAACGTTATTTATGTAACGTTGCGGTGTAGTTACGCTCAAAACGTCTCGTTTGCTAGCAGTGGCGAGGCGTGAATGATCGATCATTGATAATTCCCCATTTAAAGCTATGGTAAAGAATCGATTATTAAGGTGCTCGTTGCGAACGCCCCCTTAATCGATCCTTTTCCATAGGTTTAAATGACAGATCAATCGATATATCGCAAAGCACACCACACCACTGTTTGCTAGAAAAATCGATTTCTGTACGCACTCGTAACGTCAATCGTGTATTGCCGGGATCACGCGCTGAATTCGGGTTGAATGTGAGAGTCAGCGAGGCCGGATGCCTGAATTTTGCACGTGCCGCACAAAATTCAGCAACGAGGCTCACATTCAGCGACCATCGTATAATATAGGATCTTTTTTTTTTTTTTTTTTGAATTTATTAGAGAATTACCCCTACAAGATAGTATTAAGTAATTAATATAGGATCTGTCTGAACTATTCGAATAGATTTGACACCAATCTGGATGAAAATATATGTAACTCGATTTTGCAAAATTTCAGCCGTTGAGCGATGACTGTTGACTTCCATATTCAGCTGCCAAATTCAGCGTGTGATTCCGGCATATGATCACATTTGCAACCAGCCTCTTGGCCGAGAGGTTTTTTCGAGTCGAGAATTTAAAATTTTTTATGCACGTAAGTGCGTCTACAGCAACGAAATATTTTCGTCGGAAAAAATGGGAGTCAATGTTTCAGAACGACTGTGTAACAAATTGGCCATTTTTAGTTAGATTAAAGTAGATTATTTTCCCTAGTAAAATTCCTTCTTGCATACTGATGATCAAAATTCTTGCAATATTCATTTAAAAATGCATTTTTGTCGGGTTCCCTCGAGAAAATGTCCAAAGTGGCATCTCGGCGGTTGGCCCTCAATTTTGCATGTAGGCCAAAATATCTCCCGTGCGTTGCAATTAGTAGTCACATGCTCTCTCTAGTCTCTTCTGATCACAAAGCCTGATTGGAGCTCAATTTTGACAAAAAAGTATACTTTACTGTCAAAATAGAACCGATATCTTCCCTAAGAACCTTATATAAATCCACTTCTCCGAATGACAGAAAAGCGAGACAAAGAAGGGTAGAATCATATCCTTTGTTATTATTATTTCTCATTATGAATAATATGCGTTCCTCTTGAAAGAGCGCACGGTGATGGAAGTTGAAGAATACTAATCTTCATTTCCATGGCTAAAGTGCTAAACTTCTTAACTCCATTGCGGTGCTTCAAAACCTTTGCTCCTATTTTATTTTTTCGAGGGAAAGCAAGTCAACTTAAAAAACCTACAGAAAATTCCGCTAAAAAATGAGGAAAGTCTTCAAAAAATCAAATGGAGTGTTTTTCGGAAGAAAAAATCATGGGGGGCGGTAGCCACCTCCGGACAAAGTCTAAACTCGACAACACTGGAAAGCCTCCAAACGAAAAAAAAGGTGGCAGCCAACCATAGACACACGTAACTCCCTTATTCTGAAAATTGATTCGGGTCGAATAAAGTATGACAGGAAGCTTGCGACTTTTTCGAACGAAGATACCTAGTTTTGCAATTGGCCATTGATATGCGACGTTGCAAGCTGCTTGTCGCGCGCGGTTTTAAATTAAAACTGATAGAAATTTTTGTTTTGCATGGTCCCTGATTCTCCTCCATTTGATACAGAAATCCTATGTTTTCAAACAATCTCCTCTGCTGAATCCAAATGAAGCAGCAGCAAAGATCTTGGGACCATACTATCGAGATCGATCTCCAAAATCTTTGCTCCTATTTTACTTTTTCGAGCAAATCAACCTTATAGATTGAAAAACCTACGGAAAATTCTGCTGAAAATGACGGAAGTCTTCAAGAAATTAAGTTGACTGGCTTTCGGGAGAAAAAATAAAATATGATAGGACAGGAAGCACGTGAAGCAATGTGGCAATTGCTAGAAACAGTTAAAAAGTTAGAAAATTTGAAGCGCCCTAGAGTAGATTTTTAGGTATTACTGTGATTGAAACGAAATTCAAGAGAGCCAGAGAGCATAAAATGATGATTTTTGATGAAAATCTGTTTGATGATTATTATGATTGTTTCCTCAGCTGTTCTTAATCAATGGCCCTTTTTTCCAGATTCCAAATTTTTGACTTGGACACTGCCGCACTGAGGACTGAGGTTGTCGTCCGGTGAGTCAGATACGATTTTTTAATTTGTGTCCTTATTTGTGAATTGTTTTTTCAGACAAGAATATCCTCACGCACGACAAAGCCAGAACCTTTCAGTAGTAATAAATTCACACAAAAGCGTTCTGATATAGCATCCGTACGGAGAAAGTTTCGATAAGCTTGCATCCAAGTCGTGCCTTGCCTTGCATGTTTATGACAGCATACTAGATAAGACCCTCAACCGGACACTATGCAATCTCTTTACGCTGTTCTTAGAAATGATTTATTGTTAGTATATATCCTGTTTGTGACCACTGTCCTTTCCCTATGATACAATGCTTTTTTACAATATAATGTATCTAAACGCAAATTACGATCGTCGCTAGAGCATTGCTCTAAAATTAACGAATTCTACTATTACTGTCGGCCGAATGATAAGCGGTAAAATGTTAACCGTAAATCCCAGTTTTAGCGCAAAAATTCCAATTCGATTTTACCGATCGAATGCGTTATTTCGCATTTAATCTAAGTGTGGATTAAATAAGGATTTTCGGAATAAATTTTAAACGAAATAATACTAAAATACGCGTTTACACTGTTCCGTCTCGTTTTTTTACGAACAGTAAGAAGGAAATTTCGTATTTCTGTAGAATTTGTTCGATACCTTGATTTTTGCTTACCCTCGCCACAGATTCTCCAGGAAACGAAAGCATACCTTTAGTTTCCTGCACCCCTATTCTGCCATGCTAAGGAAAAACGCCGGATGAACATTCGAGAGTTGCCAAATTTCTCCGGATAAAACACGGATTGTTGAGGAAAGTTATGCATATTTTTTCGTGAAATTTTCGGATATGTTGGATCAAGTAGGGAACAAAATTCTCTGAAGAATTCGAATTGAAATATTCAAAAATTTTCCAGTAAATTCGGTTTTAGTATAGGAAATCCAGCAACGTCTAAAGGCTCATGTGGCGTTTTTCCTTAGCACGGCAGTGCTAAGGTGGAACCTTGGAGGCTCAAGGTGGAACTTTTTGCAATGCATTCGGGGTACGATCGATGTATTTAGGTAGGTTATATTACGTAAATCGAAATTTACGTTAGTATGTTACGTTACGTTACGTTACGTTACCTTACAATGGAAAAAAAACACATTGGATCTAGAGTCCAGACTCTTGAAAACATCGACAAGAAAAAATACTCTTGATTCAATCAGATTTAAGCTTAAATCAAGAACCAAGACTCTTAATTTGAGCGGATTTCTTCTTGATTTTAGCTTAAATCTGATTGAATCAAGAGTCCTTTTTCTTGTCAATGTTTTCAAAAGTCTGGACTCTACATCCAATGTGTTTTTTTCTAGTGTATGTTACGTTAGTATTAATCCTTATCGTGCCTAAAATCATCCTCCAAAATCTTAAAATAAAGTCAAAATTACAGCTTCCATTTTGCATCCGATATCAATGTATTGACATCGACGGTTAATTTGAAACATACTTTTGACTCCGTTTTAAGTCTTTGGAAGTTGATTTTCAGCACGGGCACTCTTCAGTGATTCTTTTGGGGACTGAAATGGAAGCGCCGGGTGCAGAAAAGGGCATTAATTTGTTGATTACAGTGTCTCAAAATCTCAGCTAACGTTTCATCCATTGTAATTGAAGCAAATGTATCAGGCTCGGACTGGCCATAAGGTCAATCTGCCTTTGGCAGATACGCCCCATTTGCGCGCGGAAAACGCGCCCCTCTGACTGAAAAAATTTTTGACCGAAAATATATGTACGGAAAGTGTCTTAAATGTACGGAGGAAGAGAGAGTCAGGAGTAAAGAAAGCTGCTTTTACGCATAATAGTGGTGAACAAAGGTTCAAGAACTACTTTCTGAAGCGGAAACACTTTTCTGTAAATTTTTCACCTTTTTGTTGACACACAGGCGCTTTATCATCCCCTTCCTTCATTCGCTATGTGTAACTTCCTTAGAAGTGATGGTCGGATTGATTTTTAGACGTACGCACTCTTTTATAGACCTCTTAAGAGACCTTTAAACATAATTCTTCCTTTTCAAAATGACTATTGATTTACCATACCATAGCATACCTCGGGCAAACTTAACCTTAATTTATCTCGAAATAAAAAAATGAGAGACATCTAAAATGTAAACGCGATACAACTATTCGCGCAAGAATGGCGTATGAGTCGTGAACTCGCAATGCTCTGCTCTATGCATGCTACTAGTTTGAAGCACCATTACGAATAAGACAAACGGAAACAAAAACAATATGCAAATAGAAGGAGAGAAAGGATGCGCGTTCACGACGGCGCAGAGATACAACTATTCGTACTTGATGGCCGTCAATGCTGCATCTGAAAAATTGAAGGCGCGATGACGCGAACCGTGAGCTCTCAATGCTCTGCTAGAATTCGGGAGGAAAGTTAAAAAAGATGCCCGAATACTTCTCTCCTGTCTTCGGTTGTGTTGAAACTCGTTCTTTTTTCGTTTTTCAGGTTCTTGTCTGATTCTTTTTTAGGATGGATTTGCAGACCCACGCCTTAAGCTCGTGTATACCGCAGCACTGGCTTGGTTCTTTTGAAAATAATGGTGCTTGGATGCGTCGAGTGGCTTTAATTTCTTATATTTTCTTTAATTTCAGAAGTCTGCCGCTCTGCCGGTTACTTCAATACAATCAATTTTGCAATTTTTACTCTGTAGGATTAAACCTGAAAATAGCGTAAATTTGTGCAGCTTTTTCAAAGTTTTCTGAGCCCCTCTCCACGTAGGGGCTGCCCTACCAAAAAATATCACATTACGCCCCTTTAACCAGCCAAGGGTCTACGCCCTCAGATGCGAGCCAGTACGACCCTGAAATGTATATAATTTGATGTAACTTTCACTGAATATGCTTCATGATTTCACAGCACTGGAAACGTAAAATTGCAGCCGGTTCACCTAACAGTTATACCTCTCTAAAATGAAGATTAGCGCCGGAGATCCTGAAACGACGCGACCAAGAAATGCCCTTCCTGAACCCAACGCAGGGTGTCTAGCATTAGGATTTTCTCGATTTTCCCGACTCTATCAGGATTTGAGGTCAATCAGGATTTAATCTTGATTTCATCAGGCTTTGAGGAAAAATCGGTCGTAAAACCAGGATTTGAGAAAATCGGCCTTCCGATCGGATTTTTTTATCGAGCTTTTTTTGTGAAGTTACATAACATTAAGTTTTCTTCGCAAAAAAGCAGGATTTTATCAGGATTCAGAAAAATTATGAAATCAGGATTTAGCAGTCAAAAATCAGGAAAAATCGGAATTTCATCAGGATTTCCCAGAATAAAAAAAACTAGACACCCTGCAACGCTTCCATTTCGATTTTTCGAAAATGATTCACCTTTAAGATAAAATTTCAAATATAAAGATCGCACCATAGATCGTATGGATCGTAGTTTTCCTGTCTATTTTTATTCTATGATCCCGGGCTGCCATAGTGTACATTTATCTAGATCGTACCACCTTTTTTTCTTCTTTTTTTCTGTTGTTTAAGGGCTTTACCATCTGAATAAGGTAAGTTCCATCCACGAGGCCACTACTTTTACCAGCCCCAACTCACCGCTGGTGTAGACGAGAGCAGGGGGAAGGGGGGGAGTGGTGTCCTGTTTAGCGCTGGTTTCACTAGACCGCGATGGCAAGCAGCTCTGTGGCTCTGTCTGCTTGTCTGTGTCGAAGTGCTGTGCGGAGTGGAACGTTATTCTTCTCTATCAGAAAGGTGTCTTATCCTCCTTTATGTACCTCTATCACGGTTTTGAAAATTTATTTTCGCGACTCGTACCTCGCGAAATTTTTTTTCTTCACCCAGTACTTCAGTTTCGCAGTTTTTCAGTGATGTGCGATAATTTACTCACAGTTGGTATTGGTTTCTTATTTTCTTTTACGGCCTCAATCTAAATAAGAAAAATCTAAGATTCTCCCATCATAATGCGTAAAGTCAAGGATATAGCTCGATTTATTTCTGAAAATAAAACATTCTTTTTGCTTCTGAAATCGCTGCATTTTGGAACTTGGTCTGCCCCATATTACATCTCTCCTCTGACGATTAAAAGCTATTCAAAAATAGTTCTGAAACTGTTTTAAACTGCATGTGTTTCTGTTGCCTGGAGTCCGATCTTCAAGAAATCTGTCGATAGGTTCTTTCTAAAGTTTTCATAATTCTCCATGTCTTCATTTTTATCTCTTTAGATGTATTGCTCCTTCTATGGTCGTTAGTTTTATCACCTTTTTTTCTTTAGGGGTAGCATTTGAAAGCATTCATTTTCCCAAAATATTGAAACACATTTTTTTTTTTTTTTTTTTTGGNGGAGAGAAAGACTGCAGTATTTCATGTATTCATTTTCTCACGGATAGTTTCTGTTTTAAAGTTCAAAATCTTCGATTTTTTTTTTAAATTTTGCAGAGCTCATAAACTTTAGCACGTGATTTTTCTAAATACCTACTTTTCACTATTTTGAAACATTAACAATGTTGCATTTTGAAATACCATCATCGATCACGAAACAGCTAGCCATGATGATTATACTGTTTGGATACATCTGTAGCACGATATTTTTTCATGATTCATCCGGGAGGGGGGGGGGTTTCCGCAAAAAAGACAAGAAACAATTTCTATATGGTCTAGAAAACCTCGACAAATCAGGTAATTTTGTCCTGAATTCGCTGGGAACCCTGTAAAAAACTCACGAGAAAAATTTGCTTTTACTTTAAATTCGTCTTCTACCTGACATAAGGGCGGAACTACACTCTGCAGTGAACCCTGTTTTCCATACATTTCAATGCTTTCCGGGCTCATCTCAATGTGTAGTTACGCACTTATGTCAGCCAAGCGACGAATTCATGCTAAACTACAGTATCCGCGGAAGTAATTTTGTTGCCAAGTACAATATCTGCCATTCAAAATTGAGTCAATTGTGCCTCCATCATAATCATCACCATTTTTTTGAATACTCTACTGAGTGCAAGAGCCAATTGTCTTCTCTCTAGGGCTC